AAGCTACTCAAGCTGGGTATGCTAGTATACTCAGTACTCAGGAGACAGACAGGATTGGCAATTCAAACCCTATCTTGGATGCACAGTTAATATCCAGTCTCAACAGAGGAAAAACAGCTATTTTGTAGCCTAAGACACTCCTCAAATGAAACTTAGCATGTGACTCAGTGAATAAAGCTCACACACAATGGGGTAAACTGTACAGACAAATCCAACATCCAACATGAAGGGAGAGTGTTCACACTAGGTTTCTTAAACATTTTGGGAAAGAAAAGTACATTTAACAACCCTACGACTGTCATGCATGTAAGTGCCATAGTAGGATGTGTATTTTACACACAACCACTGGGTTCTGCTCTCACTGCTTGGAGAGCTGTGTTTTCTTTCTCTTGTCTTCTGACACCACAGACCTAAGCACCCTGCTTGCTGCTAACTAGCCTCTGGGCTCCGAGTCCATCTTCTAATCAATGTGTCCTGGTATGGCTAAACGTCAACTTTTATTCAGACTTAGAGTAACAGGTACTGACGAAAAGTCTGACTTATCTCCTGCAGCAACTGATTCCTCTCCAATCAGCCTGCTCTTCTAGACTGCCATGCTTATTCTCAAGGCTTAGGGATCCACTTGAGCACCAAGCATTTCCTGAAAACTACTTTAAATATACTTGTTAATCTAAACATAACAGAGGTCATGATGTCTTAAGTACTGCATATTCTCATTTATCAACAGTTTTTTAAAATATTTTATTATTTCCAGACAGTTGTTAGCTGCCATGTAGGTGCTGAGAATCAAACCTGGGTTCTTTGCAAGGGCAGCCTGTGCTCTTAACTGCCGAGCCATGTCTCCAGTCCCTCATCAACAGTTATTATCAGAGTTCTTCAAAACTTATACCAAAAATGTGGTCCTCAAAAGAGCCTAAGCAAGTTAGGAGTGGTGGCACACATCTACACCCCAAGTACTCAGGAAGCAGAGGCAGGTGAGTTTGAGACCAGGCTGAGACAGGTACATAGTAACATGCTGTCTGACAGCACCCACCCCACCATGTATTTCAGTGTTATAAACTCGTAACGGTGTTTTCTTGTGTCATTCATTGTTCTTCCGAGTCAACTACAGGCCTCCATGATAAAATTATGCCGAGATTATGCATATTCATAAAGATTTGCTTTGTTTTAGTTTTGAGCCAAGACCTTGTCAAACAGCCCATGCTAAACTGAACTTGTCATCCTCCTGCCTTAGCTTCTGAATGCTGGGATTACAAAAATGTGCCACCAAGCCCAGCTCTCATCAACAGTTCTAACACTCAGTAAAGGCAGCAACCTGACAAGTAAAATGTGCAGTTCATCTCAACTAGGCTAGACCTGCAGGAGTCACATTGAATTCCTTACCAGTTTGTTCAATTTGGATCACTAGCAAAATAGGAACACCCATGCTCTGTGGCTTTAAGAATCCTGATCTTTCCCATTTGTTTTCTCCTCAAACCTTCTATTACCAACCATACATCAATACACCCACACACAGAAGGGGAGAGAGAGGAGAGAAAAGAGGGAGAGGATGAGGATGATCAAATTCAAGTGCTGGGAATGCTATCTAGCTCATCTTAGCACTGTATGAGGATATAGGCTCAGATTTACAAACTCACGCAAAGCTATTCATCCTAGAGTCAGGCATGGTGGTACACACCTCAGATTTTGAGAAGAGCCAGGAAGATCAGAAATTGAGGTTATTTCTCAACAACAAAGTAACTTCAAGGCCAGCCTGGACTACAATAAGGCCCTGCCTCAAAAAAAATTTTTTTAAAGGGGAGAAAATAGTTGTTCATCCTAATTTGAAAAAAAAAAGAGAGAATTGTCTAAGTTAGTCTCCACACTAACATCACAATGGGAAAATAATGCATATGGCAAGCTGTACTTTTTACACATACCTCAGCTCAAAATGTAGTCATTCAGCTTCCATATTAGGAGATAAGATGAAACTATGCTCATCTAATTCAAGAACGAACACATACAACACACCTGCCATGTATGCACATACACACACACACACACACACACACACACACACACACACACACACCACCTAACTCAGTAAGAACATTCATAAAGTAAAAATAGGGGCTGGGAAGATGGCTCAGCAGGTAAAAGCACTTTCTGTGCAAGCCTGCTGACCTGAGTTCAATCCCTAAGCCAGATGTGGCCATGTGCCACTTGCAATCCAGCAGACTTATGGAGAGCTGGGAGGCAACGGCCAAGAGAACTGTCAGGAAGGGCCCAGGCCAGTGGCAGAAACAAAGAGACCCGAAATCAACGAAGTGGACTGTGAAAACTGATTCCCAAAAGTTGTTACATGTGTACCATGGAGCAAGTACACACATACACACACACACACACACACACACAGTCATACTTACAAACAAATACATGTTCTAAATTCTACTATGCCTTCAATAAAAATGACCACCAGACACTCTGATTTTCCAAAATATCCCAAGCAGAAACAGGAATCATTATTGTATTTTAAATGCAGAAACTCATGTTTTTCCATCTAACATTAGAACTTATAGAGTGACAGGGCTAGAGATGTGAGCCCAGTATGTAAGAAACCCTGTGTAGAAAGGGAGCGAAGAGTGAAAGTGGGAGGAGGAAGAGAAACCCAACAGAAGCCCACCACGTCTCAGATCTACTGTTCACTTTCTAACAAAACAAAACGCAACTTCAATTTTGGACAAATTGGAACAAAAATCTCTGAAAAATAAAAACTCTGCTTTACACAGGCAGCGATGGGCTGTCTCCTAGAACTGTGCACCACACAGCATCAATCCCAAGACCGCAAAGCTCTTCTTGGCTCCTGAACACATTACAGTATCACCACCCAGAAACATTCTGACAGCTTCCTTCAGACACTATTCTACTTTCAAAAGTAAACTTTGTAGCTGGGCATCGAGGTCCACACCTTTAATCTCAGTACTCAGGAGGCAGACAGGTCAGCGAGTCAGTGAGTTCAAGGCCAGCCAGGGCTACATAGTAACACTCTTATACAAAAGCAAAACAAGAAAAACAAGTTACACATAGCACTACAACACTTAAAATATGTAACTTATTAAAATGTCTTAGTGTGCTTGGATACAGCTCAGAGGCAATGTTGGACCCTAGTCCAATTCTCAACACAGGGGAGGGGGATTTTCTCCGTAGCTTCAACTCTCAAGCACACATGCAGGCCTGGAGGCCCAGCTCAAGAAGCAGCACTTGCCCACATGTTGCCTGGGTTCATCACCAACCCTTCAAAATCAAGCTCAAAGTTTTACATGTGCTTCTCCTGAGTACCTAGCTGACTCCAACCTCATGACCTCTAGGACACTGTTTAGAACTTGGGGGTGAAAACAGCAGCCATCTAGGAAATTCTTTACTCTTTTAAAAAATAAAAGTCACTGTGATTCCTAATAACTAGTTGGAATACTCTAATTTTCTGCTACTTTTATCTTGTTTCTTCTGAGGTGCTTGACTCAGCAGCCCACAAAAGTCCTAACTCATTCCTGCCTCAGCCTCCCAAGTGTTGGGACCGCTAGTCTAGGTAGCAGCCAGGTCCTGCTGTCATTCACCTCTGATACAAACATCTCATCAACCTTGTAAGTAACTGAAAATTCTTCAAAATTTTGATACTGTGTAGAACAGGTTAAGGTCTATATACCTGTGCACATGAACCCTGTCCCCTCGGTCTTGGACAGCTAGGACTCCACACCC